GGGGTGGCACAAGTAGATCACCTAGATAGGATTTAGAGGAGTGTCCTCCAATCCCAGCCCCTCCACGGGTCCCTGAAGGGGCAGAAGAGCCAGGGAAGTGTTGGGTGGTGGTTCCTGTCCCTTCATCAGTCACTGGGAGCCCATCAGAGATGGGTGTGCAGCCTTTTGGAGCAATGACCACCTACTGTGATGATGTCAATCCATTACCTAAACCCTCAGAGGGCTTCAAAAGCACAGATTAAAATGCCACCCTCCTCATGTAAAGAAAAATAAGAATCCAAAGCAGAAGTAGAAAGCGTAGAGCAGGTGAGTCACCAGGACCAGACCTGTATCCTCCAACATCCCTCCACTCCTGGCTGACCATAACCTCCCAACCCTACTTTGAATCAGTCTTTTGTCATGAAGAGCCAGAGGAGAACATCAAGTTTCCACTGCCACTTCAGTGATAATTCGTAACAGAACTGAAAAGAACTGATCTGCTAAAAAAAAAAAAAAAAAAAAATTAAATAAACACCACCCAGGCACTTTTGAATTAATTCCAGTATTGTATTTTGCAGCCAGATTTCTAGGAAATGTTGTGAATAATCCAAGTAATTCAGTGGAGTGTTTTTATTTTGTTGTTGTTGTTTTTACAAAACACAGCAGCACGTGGAGTTTCAGCTCTGCAGCAGAACCCTCAGAAATCAGGAGGGTTCATTTTATTACAGGCCTCCTGATAGTTTTCAGAAATGAAAACCTGCAGGAGACCTGGGAGCCACCCCTCTTGTGCTCTCAGGTTGCAGCATCTCCTGCTGGAAAACTGGACATCTCATGGGGGAAAACCCATTGCAAAAGGATTCATTTCACAAAGACATTGAGATTAATCTCCTAGTTAAGCAAACAATTCCAAGACAGATAAAGTCAAATATTAAAAAAAAAAGGGAAAAAAAAAAGGAAAAAAACCCCACAGCACACATACCAGGCTGAACTGCAAACTGAAAAACAAAAACAAGCAGCTAAAATATATCCAAACATCCCAAGTCAGACTGGGGCCTTGGGGCCCTTCAACACAACTGCAATTTACTGTGCCAGCAAAACCAATTAATAAGTCAAAGGAGAGCAAGCACTGAGGGATTTGCTCTGGAAGACAAAAAAAAAAAAGAAAAAAAAAGAAAAAAAAATGATGCTGCAGGATTTGTTGAGCCAGCTCTAAAACAATGCTCCAGTTCAGAGATCCCCAGCATGATACTGGGACTCCTTCCTGTGGGGTTTTGCAAGAGGAACTAGAAAACCTCTGGGTTTGCATCTTATCAGGAAAAGTTCTCGGCTCAATTAAAAACCTCGTCATATACTGGCTGAATTTAATCACTTGCAGGTAATACCTGTGACTTTGGGGCTAATCCAGCTGCAGCAGGCACTGGATATTCCTCCAGCTCCAAGGAGGGTGCAGGGTTTTTGGCAGCCAAGAGAAAACGTGGGGCTCGATCTGAGTTATTGTGAGCCCTGATTGCTGAGCTGCATTTCATCAGGACTCCAGTTATCCTCAGGTTTGGACTGGGCCTCCACAGTCATCTCGTTGCTCCCCTTAAATTTGCCAGGAAGAAAACTCATTTGTCAGAACGACCTTCGGGGAAAATTTAGGTGAGTTAAAAACCACACATGGGGCGGGGAGGAGGACACCAATTATCACCAGGGCCTGCCAGCTTGGCTCGTGCAAGAGGCTTGTTCCACAGACCAAAAAAAAAAAAATGAGTAAAACATGGATTTTTCCTCAGCAAGGTGACAGAGGACAGCTATAAAAACTGACAATGCACACGGGTTGAAAACAGACCGTGGCCAACAGCTCCCATCCCTCTCTCCATCAGAAACCTCCAGCTGGGCAGGAATAAATTTATTTCCTTATTTTTCCTCTTGATGTTGTCTCTATAGGTCAAGCTACTAACCTGACTTTCCATCCCCAACGCCCGGTTACATTGCGAGAATTTACCTTCTGCAAGGCACTAAAAGCCACAGAAGTGGCTCTCAGGCAAGTTTTTCCACTACCAGAGAAAAATCAGAGTATGCTGCAAACTGGAACTTGTAGCTGAAGGCACGGGCTCCTTTGAAAACTTCTTAACTGGCTAAAAATTTGGGAAGTTCATCAAATAAGCTGGTACATGGCTGAGACCACAACAACCCTCTGAACTTCCCAAACACTCATGTATTAGTTCACTAGAAAATCCTTCCGGGTTTTTCCTCAGCTCCTGAGTAATTAACAGAGCTACAAATTATTAAAAACTTGAAGTTTTTACGAACAGCAAATATCCAGGAGGTTCTTATGAAGCTCTGCTACGGTGCTGCAGCCAAGATCCTCCTCACTGCAACACTTTAAACTAAAACTGAAGCCTCAGCTTTTAAGTTTTAACATCGCTACAGCTGCTTTGAGAACACAAGAATAGAGACAAAAACAACAACAAAAAAGTTACCTCTGGCAAAAGACAGACCCGGGCTCTGAACAGAGCCTCAGATATTCTCAGAAACAAAAACATCCTAATTACTAAGGATACAGAAAGCCATATGTATATGCAAGATCCCAGAAGGAGATAAGGGAAGAGCTCCACTCTGCACAGAGCAAGAGTATCAAAAGATGTTTCTCTACTGAGAAAGGGGAAAAAGCACCACAAAAAAAAAAAAGAATCAAACAAGATGTCAATTTTTCTTTGCCCTTCCCATCACAGAGCTCAGGGGACTGCTTTTTCTGTTTTAAAGGTGGGGCAAGAGCATCTCTTGGTGCCCACAGCGAATTGGAAGATCCCAACAAGTGGTGCCAAGAAGCAGCTTAAGGATTACGGAGCTAAACATCAAAATGGCTCGTTTTGAAACTGTGTGGAAAGGTAACTTCTTTATCTGTGGTTTCCTCTGGCCCTGATGAAGTTTTGGGTAAGACTTAGGGAATCTGAGCATATGGAACTCAGGGAGCACCAAAGCAGTGGGAATATTCCCCCTTGGCACCCTGCAAGATGTGCTGCCCATCTGCTCCGAGCGGGAGCACAAACCCTCCGTCAAATCAGGCAGCACGAGGTGACTCATCACCCAACTGCAACTGAACCCTTGGAAAAGGTCAGTTTGTGATGAGGAACAAGAGCAGCAGCAGATCCGAGTGTGACATAACCAAGAAATCCGCTGTATTTCCAATGGCTGGTAACACAGCGCTCGGTGATGTTTGTGGGATGAGCAGGAACTTGCAACATCCCCTCCTTCCCCTAAACCACCCAAGAACGGAACAGGAAAGCATCACACACAGGGGCATGAAGCCCTCACTGGCAGCTCTGAGGTGCTGCCTCCTTAAGACAAAGGAGGAAGCTGAGTAATAACACAAACAGAGGGCAGAAATGCCAATTACCACGGCACAAAAAAAAAAAAAAAAAAAAAGAGTTGAACAAGGGATGCCACAACTACAAACATGTGCTCTAAAAACATTCAGAGATCTGCTTTTGGATTGTTTTTTTTTTAATTTGGATAGTTCAAGGAAGATAAGACTGAGTCCTGGAAGGGGACATGTAGGGCTCCATAAAATGCCAGGACAGAGAGCTGTGCTTGTGTTCCCTGGGGTAGGAAGGGCTGGGATGAACTGAGTGGCTGCAGAAGACACACAGCTTTGTCCTACACCTCCAAAACCAGCAGTGTTTCTCACCAAACCCTTACAATGCTTTCAGCCAGAAGCTGGAGGCTTAGTCACCTCTCCAGGTCCCAACCTGGATCACCCCCTTACATTCCCAGTCCTCAAGAAAGCCCTAATCACATCCCAAGGGGCGATGAGCGAGGTGGAAGGAAGGAGCAGGGCTACCAAGACCTCCTGCCCCACATACCCTCAGAAAACCTCCCCGAGGTCAGGCATTAATTTCTGCCCTTCTGCAACTCAGAGAAGATCTCCCACTAGATATGAGAGGACTCGCTTCCAGTTTCATCCTTTGAGTCCCAAAAGTTGACTCCATATAACGCTTTCAGAGAAAAAAAGTGAGCCAGTGCCAAAGGAATCGCTGTCGCCAGCAGTGCTGGATTCTCTGCAGGTGACACCTGGCAGACATTCAGCTTCTCCTTCCAGATCTTATCTCAAGGCTTGGCCCCCTGGAACAAGAAGGATGAGCCCTGTGACAGCTACAAGCATCTCCAGGCCTAAATAACTGGAGAGTTTTAGTCTTTTCCTCTCACCATTTGGAAGTCCTGGACACTCCAAGCACTTCCAAGGGCAAGAAGCCCCAGGCTCTGAGGGACTGCATTCCTAAAGGGGCTGGTGTGGAGTGGAACTCCCAAGAAGATCTCTCCCTAATACCCTACACGTGCTATTTTTGGAGAAACTCATGGCAGGGGGCTGGAACTAAATGATCTTTAAGGTCTCTTCCACCCAAAATTATGCCCCAAAATCAGAAGTTGGGGCTTCACTGCACTTCAAGTTCGATTACAGGACACTTTGTCTCTTTATTAGTTGAGCATCTCCAAGATCTCAGCCACCTTTGTTGAGGCAGATGATACAAGTTTTGAAATTCCACCACTGAATCTTGCTTCAAAGAACAACAAAAAAAAAATAATAAATCTTTGTGCTAAAAGCTGCATCTGCCAGAGCCACACAGCATTTACCACCAACATGCTCCGTGACAGACTCCGTGGATCCCAAAGGGATCCAACACCTACACATGATCCCCACTCCAGAAAAAGAGATGAGCCAATACACCTGCCAGGCTGTATGACAGGAAAACATCATGAAAGGACTTGAAAAACAAGGAGCCACCCAGAATAGTCACTGATGACAATGTGGAGATGATTATTTACTGCTTGACTATCTCAAACATCTACAGGATTTGAAAACACGGAGTCTGCTCCCAGTATGAGGTGACACAACCACCACACCAGACTGTTTTCACACCACACTCAAAAGCTAAGTGGATTCTGTTTCCCCCAGTTTAAGTTCTCAGCTCCCCCTGTAGCGCAGCTCTCCCTCCAACAAGGTGGAATTGTGGACAAAAAAGTCAAATAATACTTGCCACTCTCTTCAAAGAAGTATCCATTTCTTGACATCGCTGCTGGTGGGGACTCTGGAAAAAAAAAAAGGCAGAAAAAAAGGAAACATAAGAATCATCAAAATTCTGGATGTTTTCACCTTCCTGCTAAACTCACTGTAAACCTGGATTACAGCAGAAAGTCACTCCCAAAATACTGCAGTCATCAGAATGTCCCAACTTTAACCTTTTAATAAACTAAGTTGATTGACTTTAGTATTTACCAGAACTTTCCGATACAGCCACAGGCAGCACTCGAAAAAAGTTAAGTCTCAGATATCTTGGACTGGGACCACAAAACATAAGACAAAATTTCAGGATAAGCCTGATCATCTCAGTATCTTTCAAACCTGAATAAATACGACAAAAAAAAAATACAAGCTAATAATCTAAAAAGTTTTTATAGAAAAAAAAATACAAACCATAACAAAGTCCAGGTTGTACCTTACAATCTAATAAAATAAACAAGTTTAATGTGGAAAAAAAAAAGTCAATTTAGATGAGAATGGGACTTCACATCCTATTCTGCTGCCCCTAATCAATAGGATATCCCCAAAACAGTGCTTGGCACTTGGAGATAAGCCCCAGAACACTTCAGCCTTCCTTGGCCCACTTCCTGACTGGGGTCCTGCAGCAACACCATCTGCACCAAGAGGGTCTCACGAGGAAGCCAAACCGGGAAATGACGCTGACCGAGAGCAAACCCACAAACACAAGAGCACCAGGAACGAATCTCCACAGTTTAATGTGGAACATGCTTTCTGTTAGCGAGCCAGTCCTGCAGGACACTGCTGGCCAGGTGGGTATTGAACATCTCTGGGTGATAAAACAGCACAGGAGCATCTGCTTTCAGGTGTGATCAAAGCCTGGCACCCAAACCCAGCCTGGCTGCTCCGAACACTGACAGCCTGGCACAGCTCAGCCTGCGTGGGCAGAAGCACCAGGTTTCCCTTACAGGTGCGTGGCCCATTTTCCAGGGAGAGAACAGAGCTCTGGATTCCAAGCCTTGAGCAAGAGTCACCCAGGCGGTCCCTCAGAAACCTGCTGCTCAATGCTGCCTCTTTACACGCTTCTTCCCGGCCAAAACGCAATCAGACAGAGGAATAGGCTTGCTCTGTCTTTCCCCACTTCATCAGGCTAATCAAACATTACCTACGCAAGCCTGGGATGAATTTGGGCCAACAAGGAAAGAGGCTTTGCCTGCCTTATTGTTCTGCAGATTAGGCTTCCTGCTTTCCCTTTGAGGTACGAGGCTTGTTTCCCAAAGCCCCTTCTTTCTCTACCCCCTAACTTTTGGCTGATAGATAGCAGGCTTTTTTATTCCCTTTTACAGTGGTGCCCCGTTGGGAAGCATCATAATTCATCCCGATCCCCCGGGAGCCTTTGTGCACCAGGCGGATACAAGTCACGCCACTGACTGACGGCAGCACCTTCCAGCCCTTGTGACACTTGTCACCACTGACAGCACTTGGCCGTGCAGGTTCCTGAAGGGACACCCTGATGACCATTAAAGAGAGAGCCAGCACATAAACCAGAGGGCAATTCAAGTGTCTGGTCCACGGGAGAAACACAATGTTCCAAAGTTCATCCCAGAACAATGGGGCCGGAGGAACAAAGGCACCGAAACTGTGGCCAAGGGGCACCCATTACACGAGTCAATTGTTTCCCTCCACCTGGAAGGGAAGGAGAAGATCCATCCAGACTGATTAGCATGCTAATGATCAAAGGAAAGTTCTTTAAAGAGGCTCTTATTGTGTAATGATTGCATTTACGTATTTCAGGGAAACAAACAAATGGATTACCCAAGGAACCGACATTCCCACCAGGATGGTATATCCATTTCTCCCTCCTGTTATGGCTTCTGAGGGAGCCTGGAGTTCATCCTTCACTGGGCAAAATGAGACACCTGGCTTTTCCTTTAACTGAACACAGCTATTCCTACAGGTTGATGATGTCTAATGATCAGGAATTGCTTGGTTTATTCCTTGGAAATTTCTTCCACACTGCAGCATTGCCTGGGATTGACATGGCTGATAAAGCAAAACACTTCAGTCTCTGAGCAAGAAGTCACCACAAAACCCACCATAACCACCTTTACTTTGGTGGCTGCTTGGACTGGGCATGAAAAGGGCAAGGCTGGGGTGTTAGAGCAGGCAGTGCCATTTCATTAGGTGGCACTCGTCCCTCTGAGTCACTAATGAGCAACAGTCCCCCGGGCAACACGCTCGGGCAATTATGTTGGAGGTGCTGTTTTTTCAGATGAGTCATAAAACAGAGGTCTTAACCTTGTAATTAAAGATGCAATGGCACGTTTGGGAAAGGGAAAAAAAAGGGAGAGAGTCAGGCGTTCACCCTACTATGTCCTGGCAGAAATCCAGCCCTGGCAATTTGTCTTCTCCCAACATAATGCTGTCCCACAGCACCAACCCAACTCAGACTTCCAAAACAGCCTCGTTGGCGCCTTTGGAAAAGCTGTTACACCCCCCCCCCCCACCCCACGGAAGGGGCTACGCACATGAACAGCAGGAACCTGCCCAGGAGGGAAAAGGTGATGGGGCGTTTACACAAGCCCAGACACAGGCAGGGAGGGATGGGACTGGCTGAAAGGTCAAGGGATTAAGCAGGAGTGGGAGGTTGGAAGGGTGAACTGGGGGCTACATCATCTGCTCCTTCCCTGAGAATATAGAGAACGCAACACCCACCCAAGTTTTTCATAGAATAATTCGGGTTGGAAGGGATCTCTAAAGGTTATCAAGTCCCACTCTCCTGCCATGGGCAGGGGTGTGTTCAACTCTATCAGGCTGCTCAGTGCTCTGTCCAACCTGATCTAGAATATTTCCAGGGATGGGGCATCCACCACCTCTCTGAGCACTCTGTGTCAGTGCCTCACCACCCTTACTGCAAGAAATTTTCTTATCTGTAATCTACATTGACCCTCTTTTAATTTAAAACCATCACCCCTTGTCTTATCACAACAAGCCCCTCTAAAAACTCTTGCCTCCATCCTTCTCCTAGGCTCCCTTTAAGCATTAAAATCTCAGAGTAAGGTCTCCCCAGAGCCTTCTCTTCTCTCCAGGCTGAACAACCCCAAGTTTTTAACCAAGCAGAACGACGGAGACAGATCTCAGGGGGGATTTCAATGAATATCTTCTTTCCTCCTTTCACATCAATCCCCTTCTCCCCATATTTCCCAGAGTTCAGCAGAAGCAAGCATTCCTTATGCTAATGGATGCTACCTAAGGCCAAGGCCAGCTAGGCTGTGCTTAAGTGCAGGTTCAGTAGCAGCCAGCAAGACAAACACATCAGCAGCTCCATCGGCCTCCTCCCTCACGAGGCTTATGGGATTTAATATCCAAGGTCTTGACTCCTTAGCCATGTTTTGCTGGAGACAGGAGCAATGGGTTTGAGTTGTGCAGAGCCCTCTTTTCTCCAGCAATCAGGTCCATACCCACCTGACCACACACCAACCTGCATTTCCTCTGCCCACCTCACCTCCACTTTGGAAATTAGAAGAGTTCGACCACAGGACAGTTATAAAACACCACAGTCATCGATGTGTTTGGCTTTGGGAAGCTTGGGCAGGAACACAAATCTCCCAGTTGATCAGGGATCAACATGATAACGGCTCCAGGGTTTGCCTGAAGCTCCAGGAGCGTTTCCATGAAGAATAAATCTTCCTCCAGCCCACAAAGGCTGAGGAGTTCCCTCTCTCCACCTTCACACCGTGTCCCCTCAGACCCACCAAAGCCACGTTGTTGGCTCCTTCAGCCAGGTTTTCTTTCAAAGATTTCAACAATCAAAAAAAGAAAAAAATCCAAGCAAAGCAACTTCAGCAAGGTCAAGCTTCTAGAGACAAAGCTAGAAAGCATTACCCCAAGGAACTGAGATGTACAGCACTCTCATTGCTGTGCCCTCAGCATCTCTCACCATGTCCTCATTCTCCAGACTCTCTCACTCAACACCAACAAGGACAACCAGACTCTCCACCTGCTCTCCCCTCCAAAAGCAGAACAAGATGCCACCTTCCACTATCTGCCAAAAAGCACAAATTTAAGCTCTTTTGACAATTTAAGCCGTGCTTTTCATTTTCAAGAGTTAATTTACTCCAGCAAATAAAGTTTCTACTGCCACCCCACTTTATTCCCTGCAGGGATGTCTATTAAATGAGACTAAATTGGAAAGGCACAGTGTCACTACTTAGTTTCTTCTTCAAAAGGAAAATTTCTGAGCTTTCTGAGCACTGAACTCAAAGGTAGAAGTGACGAGCTGAAGCGCTGCAGAAGAGAAAACAAAGCTTATTTCTTCAGACTCAAGGATTCAGCTTAAGATTTCCTGAGTAAGCAACTCCCCTTGGAGCTGAGGCAGTGGCAGTGACCCCAAGAGCCACCAGGGCAGAGGTATTTCAGAATCACAGAACGGTCTGGGCTGGAAGGGAGCTAAAAGACCATCTCATTCCAACCCCCTGCCATGGGCAGGGACACCTCCCACCAGACCTACATATGAAGTTTACTTTTCAACTGGTGGCACAGTTGAGTTTGCTGTTTGTTTAAGGTGCTTTGTCGTAGGTCTGGGACAACACCAGATGATCCACCGTGGGAAGCAGCAGACAAGAAGTGGGTATATTTCCTGATTTCTGACATTCTCATCATTTTTACATTTACATTGAACAACAAAGCCCCAACCCTGCCATCCTCCATTATTAAATTCCTGTGGGCACCGTGTCTCAGATCTAATAACCCATTTCAACTCTCTTGTTTTAAAGTTAGTAATAAGTTCTTCTCTTGAGCCTTGCAATATTAGTTGGATTATGAATAAAAACACATTCTCTGGATACTTGGGTAACTCAATTACAATGTTCTGCTGCTGGCATCTTCCAAGTAAACAGCCTCTGCAGCACAAGCCTTATATTGAAGTAAAACACAGCTCTGCAACAGGCTTTCTATCAGTAGTACCACAGCCTTTGGCTTTTAGGATTTCTCTACAGTAAATCTCTCACAGTTTTGGTGGCTTGATATTTAATTGGAGTTTACTTTGAG